TTCTTACTTTCAGTTTCATTCGCGGCAGTTTGCGCGTCGGCTTGCTGAAGAGATACTCAGCTACTCGTCCGCAGCAATGCGTGTTGCATTAGCGCAGTCTGACTAATGTCATATAGCCTATAACACTCTCTCACAAGTTTATTATTTTAACATTTTGGGAGGAGTAAAATTTGCATATGTGGTTTCAACAACCAGATGCATTTACACTTGTCCAGTTTCGTCTGGAATGCGGCCCAGACCACCTCCTGAAGTGGTTTGAGCGATCGGATTTATATCCGTCTCGAATGCGTTTCGGAGGGCATTTACACCTGGTCTTTTCACGATCGGATAGCTATCCGATCAGAAAAAATGCATGAAGTGACCAGGCGTAAACAGGCCCATAAATGCCTTAGATTTTGGTCGAAACGAGTAAATATTATACAACAGCATAATTTTGCTGCCAGCTGTTTGGAACATCCTACACATCTGTGTGTTTACAGGCTAATAACTTAATAATTTTATTTGTTTGCATAGATTATTTGAAGCTTTACAAAACAGTCACTCATGGATTATTATTATTATTATTATTATTACGGACAACAACAACAACAGTAATAATAATAATAAAGCCTAAAAGACTACATTTCTGCAACACATCTCACTCAGCCATGAATGGTTATGTAAAAAGTTAAACTGCTTACACAAACAATTTATACTATTATTATTATTACAGTGAGCTATAGTGATCTTTTAAAGTAGGGTTTAAAACGGAGCCACAGTGCCTGTATTTCTAATGGGAACAAATAACGTTAGCACCTGAATACTGTCTCTAAAATTAGCGTATCTTCCACACTGACATCAGAATTAAAAATGAAGTGTTGCTTACGGTCATTTTACGCTGGTCCTGATACTCCAAACTGAAGTAATCACCTTCGATGAGGTTCAGGTGGGCACAAACCAGGTCAAACAGCACCTTCCCTGAAGCACGTTGCTGTAGAAACAGAAAATCACACATGAAGCTTGTTAGACATGAAACACATACAGTAACTCATCTGATGGTACAGGCACCTGCATAAACAGGCATTTCTTTTAATGTTGAGGAATCATGTTTAAAGAAAGTCCCAATGAATATCTTGTTTCACTTGTAAAACAGGTTGCAAATGTCATTTCAATCTGACTTCAACATCAAATTTCTCAGTTTCTATGTACGCTACAGCAGGATCAAAGACTTCAGTGAATTGTGTCGGCAAACACCAAAGACAACAGCAACCAGAGAGTTTGTCATTCAAGCAAATCCACTGGCACACAGTCTCCTAATTGGCCATCAATTTTAACAAGATGCTTGTTGCTGTGACCCATGACCTCACTGTTAAAACCAGGCCAGACAACACAAACACTGCCATGTGCAGCAAAGCTGACTTTACAGTCCTCTCAGGCATGAAAACTCATGACACACTCCACACGTCCAGTCAAAAAGAATAAAGAAATGTGCTTTTCCGCTTTGCATTTGCAAAACATTAATTTGCAAAAGGATCCTAATGGGATTTTCTTTAATATAGGATTCACAGGGGGTAAACTAGGGAAGTGTTCATACTCAAAGTATTAATACAACAAAAACATTTGGCTGAAAATTAATGTGTTTCAACTGTAAAAAGTTGTCAATAAAACAGTGTCATGTAATGTCATATATAACTAATGGAAAGGCATGTTGATAAATATATGCACTATATTACTTCCTTCATACCATACCATACCATACTGTAGTAAATCAGCTCAACAGGGAAATATTTATGACTAATTATATCTGGTTATGATTAATAATAAATATTTAGATTATATCTTCGAATTAACTGTAGCAGAATCAATATTACAATTATTAATAAACTGTGATAATGTGAGAAATGTTGAAGGTGTCTGAATATATTTTGGTTTGACTGTATCTATTTGATAAATGAAGTTAACCAACTAACATTATACATACTCTTTTGGTTTATGTACCCAATATTAAAAAAAATGTACAAATGCATTGAAAATATTGGTATCGGTACTCGGTATCGGCAAGTACCAAAAATAAAAGTATCGGTATCGGGCGAGTACTGGAAAAAGTGGTATCGGTGCATCCCTATTGAAATCAATTGCACAGTGTAGACGTTTCCTTCATTTAGCAGAACACGTGAATAATTTCAGATGTGCAAAAATGCTGTAGATCTGATTCTTCAAAAACGAGCACAATGCAGGAAGCGGTAAACCACACCGAACCTGAGCAAACACACCGCAGCTCTTTAATACTTATATAGATTTCATCATCTCATGCTCCTGCCAACCAAAACAGTTCGGGTCTGCCAGCTCACGTCCAGTAAAACACACTTTAAATATACATGGAGGGCGAGCCGAGGTTAATGCAAGCAGCGCTCCAGATTTTGGGAGGCAGGCGTTCTTTTAATATATGGAGAAGTTCCATTAAGGAAGATAAATGAGCCGATATATCTGCGTTCTTCAAGCAGAGCGGAGCTGTGTGCGTGTTTACAGTAACGCCAGGCTTACCACTCCCCGTGAATAACAGTCTCTCAGGACGACATGAAAGGGTGTTTAGATGTGATATTTAGTGCATGGTTATGCTGCAGTTTGCATGTGTGATAACAGATGATCAACAGTGGTCAAAAACAGAACAAATCATATCAGAATGATCATATTAGTGAGAGTGGCACACATGAAAACCACTACAAAAATCAATTAAAGAATCAAATGGTGGAAGCCAATTAGTATTGCTCATAATCACCATTTAATTGTGAATATTCCGTTTTTACACATAATATGTATTAGTGGTTAAACGGATCGTAGCCCCATGGTTCGGCACGCATGTGATCCGCGGAGTAATTGCAAAATGTAACCATAATAGAGTATAAGTTTATCATTTGTTCGAAACCAAACCAAAAGAACACTGATTAAAGTCACCTTCTTATACAAAAAGCCAGTCTAAAGGAAAAGCCTATTGCTCTGAACAAAGTGGAGCTTAACCATTAGACAAAACAGAGACGGCATGCACTTTTGTTGGATGCAGGACCAGATTAATACAATCATGTTTTAATCACTGACCCGGCTGATTCTAAAGCCATATCCCACCCCCTTCAATGAGTCTGGGCTTGAATGAAGCCAATTGATCTCCATCAAACTCTGTGAAATTGATGTGTGGTGCCCATCTTAAAAGGAAAATAATGACTGGCATCAAAGTCTGTGATCACTTGTTGTTTGGCAACTCCGAACGATAATTACTGGATATGTTGGTCTCTTTACAGCTTGCATAATTAACACATAATTAAGTGTTGAGTTGATGAGTTCTCTCAAAGTATGGATGACAATCCTAATGTGCCCAACAAAGTCGAGACTTTACTGCATTGCCTTGATGAAACACAAAGCCGAAGCCAATACAGCTCTTTGCCATTGGATAATGGAAAGAAGATGAGTCACAACCATTCAAACAAATGAACAGACTTTTGTGTCTCAGTGGTTGATTTTTTTTTTTTTAAAGGGGTCATATGATGCTTTTTAAAGATCATTATTTTGTGTATTTGGTGTAACAGAATATGTTGATATGCTTTAATGTTCAAAAAACACATTATTTTTCAAATACTGTACATTATTGTAGGTCCTCTATGCCCCGCCTCTCTCAAACGCTTCGTTTTCTACAAAGTCCCTCCTTCCGACAAGCGCAGTCTGCTCTGATTGGCCAGCTGACCGAGTGCATTGTGATTGGCCGAACACCGCAAGCACTCGTCGGAAATGTAACGCCCCTTACCATAATCGCGAGCTTCATCTTTCAAAATAAAGGTAAAGACAGAGCCCGAAAGGGGAACAGAGTCGCGTGACAGACACAGTGATGAAGCTGGTATGTGTTTGCAGTACACAAGCCACGGTTAAGACAGCTGACTCTAGGGCTGTCGCGATAACCGCAATATCGCAATACCGCGTTATTGACGAGCAAACCGCAGAGGAATGCAAGAACCGCAGCAACCACGATTTTTCCGTGTTTTATTTTTTCGTAAGGTTATGCCCTTCTCGTTTTACACTTCATGCATGTGGACTGAATATTAAACAAGTTAGTAATGATAACATAATGTGTACCATGCTGATTTGTACAGAGGCTCCATAGATTTGCACTTAACAAGCCTAAACAGACAGTGAATGAGAGAGAGATCGACTGAGCACGTGCGATTACTTGCGTCTGTCCTCCAGGCAGAGTCATATATATTTGTGAAAATAGGTTGTCATGTCCAAGGAAAGCGAAATCTCTGTCTTCGCATCGACGCATAGTGGGCTTACAATGACTAGCCGTTTTAGGGGGGCGTGGCAGAGTCTTAACTTTGATAAAGAATATCTCTTTGGTTTTGAGACTTTAGTCTTTGCAACTTCAGGGATCTTATCTATGCACAATCAGCTTGTAACACTCCAAAGAGAAAGGAAAACTTGAAATCGCATCATATGACCCCCTTTAAACAATTCCAGAGAGAAAAGGCGAAAGGGAACTCGATTCATTACTCACGCGCTGTTCTCTACACGCACAGCCGCACACACATAAAGCGCACACACACGCGTTTCAGACGGTTCGCGAACACCGAACTGAATCCTCTTCTGAATCCTCTGAA